TCTCCAATGGCTTTAACAGGGGCTGGGAGTGGTTGGTGGTGTCCAGCTCGGTGCCTCCTGTCCCCTGCCCTGGTGGCTCCCAGCACCACAAGGGGACAAGGCCAGCACCAAGCCCAGCAGCTGCCACACAGAGCTGGATAAATTCTCTGCTTCTCTGAGCTCCAGATTCCGCCAGCTCTGGGTGGAAGGGGTGGATGTCCTCTCTCAGTCTGAGGTGATGTGAGGAGAGCTGAGGAAAAACAGGAGGAAGAGTTTGCTCATTTTCTAGTGAGGAAGAAATTACTCCAACCACTCTCTGTTACTCTGAGGTTACACCCTGTCTTTCCCTTGCCCTTTTCCTGGCTCTGGAGGTGYGTTTGGAGAGCAGGAAGTTGTTTATTCCTGCAGGGGAATATCTGTCCCCTGCTGCTCCATCCCTCTTGGAGCACCCTCCGAGAACTCCTGGAGCTTGGAGCTTCCTTCCACCCCTCCAGGTCCAAGAGGCTCCTGCAAGAGCCTGAGAGAAGTGATTTGAAATCTGCCACCCAAAGCAAAAGGGAACACCCAGACCAAAAAAGAACACCCAGAGCAAAAACAGAACACCCCGACTAAAAATGAACTCCCAGAGCAAAAGAACACCCAGAGCAAAAGGGAACACCCGGAGCAAAAGAGGACATCCAGACCAAGAAATGTGCTGGTGGTGGCCCAGACACACCAGTTCCATGTGTCCTCCAGGGAGATCCCCAGAGAGGATGAGGATTTGAGGAGGTGACCCTGCCGAGGGAGGCTGATGGATGATTTAGGGATGGATCCCCTCAGCCAGGCCCTGTGGGAAGAGCAGTCCAGGGAGTTTCTTCAGCCTCCAGCCCCAGGGTCACCTGCAGATGTTGACTTTTTTCACCCTGGTGCCACAAGACGCCATTGTCCTGATGCCTTAGGATTTTCAGTTTTTATATTTTCATGTATCTGTATTCTGGTACTTCTCCACTAAAAACCACTGGTCTTACATCTTTAGACAAAACAATTCCTCTCTGGGCCTGAATCCAAGGACACTTCGCTGCCTCAGAGCCCCAAAATATGGAAACAACAGAGAATTGGGGGGAGCAAACTTGGGGTGGGTGACATCAACACCTGGAGGTGTCATTGGGGAATTGGGGCCCGATGTGTTCATAAGACAGAAATGATAAAAGGGGAAGATCTCGTGACTCGGGGTCCATTTTGGGTGCAGCCTCAGGAGGAGGCTTTGTCTGCCCTAAATGCACCAGCAGGCCTGGATTAAATTTATCTGCTTTATTCTCTTCACTTTGTCTGGCCTCTGTTTCAGGTGAGCCTTGTTTTAAGGCATCAACCCCATCACAGCAGTGCTTGGGAGGCATGGGGAGGAACAAGAGGGAGAGGTGGGGCACGAGTCAGTGATTCCCGAGTTTCCTGGAGGGAAGGGCCTCGGGAGGCAGCCTGGCCAGGGTGGGCATCCCCAGCTAACRGCCCTGTTGTCTCTTTTGAACGCCCCCAGCCTGCAAACGCAAGGAGCAGGAGCAGCAGAAGGACCGGAGCCTGCAGCCCAAGAAGCAGCGCCTGGTCTTCACRGACCTGCAGCGCCGCACCCTGATCGCCATCTTCAAGGAGAACAAGCGCCCGTCCAAGGAGATGCAGATGACCATCTCCCAGCAGCTGGGCCTGGAGCTCAACACYGTCAGCAACTTCTTCATGAAYGCCCGCCGGCGCTGCATGAACCGCTGGCAGGAGGAGCCGGGCGCCAACCCCGGGGTGCCCTCGTCTTCTACAAGCACTTTCTCCAAAGCATGATGTCCCCCCGGCCCTCCCCGCCCCTTCCTGGACGTCCCCCTSGTGACAAAGCCGACCCCAGACTCACAGGCGTGGCCCGAGTGGAGTGGGTGCTTTTGGGGTGGGGTGGTTCAGCCTCCCAAACCCTTGGTTGGGTTGGTCATGGTCCTCGGGCCACCTCCTGCTGTCACCTCCTGCTGTCACCTCCTGCTGTCACCTCCCTCTGTCACCTCCCACTGCCACCTCCTGCCAGCTCGTGGAGCAGGGACAGGGTTTGTCCCGGGGGGCTCAGAGGAAACCCGTGTGGAGCGAGGGGTGACGGGGATGGAGGGAGCCAGCAGGAAGAGGCACCATGTGGATGCAGCCCTACTCCTTGGGGGTTCTTGGGGTCCTTGGGAGTCCTTGGGGGTCACAGAACCTCCTCTTCACCTGCCCACCAAGTTTTTTGGGGACAGGGACCTGTCCTGACCCCTCAACCAACCTTGATCTCTGTCACCACCACCACCCTTAGGGCTCCCACAGCGGCGTGGGGGTGATAGCAGAGGTGGCACCATGGGCTGGGCCCTGGCACAACCCCACTGTTGAACCGGGGCCAAACCCGCCATGGCTCGAAGGGGGCTGGGCAGGGAAGGTGCTCCCGGGGGGCTCCTGAGAGTTCCCTGGATGCTGAAGGGTCCCCCAGAGCAGCCAGACCCTCTGTGCCATCCCCACACGGCATTTCCCTGCCTCGAGGGTTTTGGAAACCTGGCTGAGGCCATTCCTGGAGTGTTTCCTYTTCCTCTGATCCCCCCAGGACCCCCCAGGAGCACCCACACCCCAGGGCCCCCACTCACCCACCCCCTGACCCACGAGAGCGCCCCGGCCCCAGATCCCTCCCGGACAAATCCCCTCCTGCACCCCCATCCCGAGGGGACCCCGGCCGCTGACCCAGTGGGTCAAAGAAGCACATTTTAGCTACAGAAATCGGGTATTTGGAAATAATTCGCAAGGAGAGACTCGGAGCGAAGGATCGGATCTTTCCCGGGGACCGCCAAACCGGATTTCTGGTTCACTTTTCGGCCGAGGAACGGACACGGACCAAGAGGATTTGTTGGCTTTGCCTYTCGCCCCATCTGCCCCTCAACCCCTTCCTCTTCATCTCTGTTACCAAAGAAATTACAAAACCAAAAAAAAATCCCGACGATGACAACCAAAATTAAAAAAAATAATTCCCTCCTGGGAATCGACATCAGCGCACGGTGGGAAAAGGAAAATCCGAGGGACCTGGTGGCGAAATCCTGCCCTGGGTGTGAGAAGGGGGAAAACTCCCCCGAGGAGRTTGAAAGGTACAAAACCCCAACCCTACCCCCCCAAAAAAAGGAATAACAACAGAAACCACAACCAAACAAGCTCAACAAAGACCGGCAACTTACCAAAAAAAAAAAAAAGACACCAGATTTTTTTTTTTTTTAAATTTTTTTTTTTGTGCCAATTAACAACCTGCCTTAAACGTGGATTTCTGGAGCAGTGGTACTTAGCTTCAAAGGGATCGTTTCCTCCGAGCTCTCSATGGTGACTTGTGCCATATAAAAAAGCAATCACGAGGCCAAACCCTTACAATCAGCCCTCTCCCAGCCCCACCGAGGGCTCCTTGCCAGCCCGGGATGTCCTCAGGAGGAGCAGGAGGCACCGCTGGGGACAGGGAAGGGCTGGGAGAGGCTTGGGGATGAAGGGGGAGGCAAGGTCCCCTTCTTCCCCCACCACTTGGGGAAAAAGAAAAAAATTTTCC